GTACACAGTGAGACCCTGTCTCAAAAAACAAATCACACACACAAAAAAGATAAAAATTATATGTAAAATATAGTCTCAATTATTCAACTGTGTTTTTAAATAAGCTGAGGAAACCACTAAAAATAAACACAGCAAAATCTAAATGGGCTCTAAGTACCACAGGTAAGATTTATTTATTCTTACTACTTTCCATAATGAATGTGTATTACTATTCTAAATAGGAAAATAAATGCTTTCATTCTAATTATTTACTGTAAAGATGATAAAAATAACACTAAAGAAAGTTTTATAAAATAACCTCAGTTCACCATCCGTTCCTATTTTTCTGTGGTTCTTGTCAGTACTACCTGTGTGGACCCTTGCCTTTCACATAGGTCTTACCAGCCTGATGTAAGTAGTTGTCTCAGATGCCCAGCAAAGAAGGCAAGTTAAGCCCTTTTCCTGCCTGGTCTCCCTTTACCTACAAACATTGGCAACCAAGAAGACAGAAGAGTGGCACCCACCAGCACTGAGTGGCTGGGGATTGGGCAAGCTTCTGGTCCCTAGCCCCAGCCTCCTCACTGACCTTTGGGTAGCCTTGGCAAGCCATCTAACACTCTCAGCCTCAGTTTCCTCATTTATACAGCAGATGAGGAGACTTGGTCAAGGACCTCTAAAATCTCTTTCAGGTCTACTCTTTGTGTATGTGTGCAGATTTGACTAAAAAAGTCCCCAAACAGATCTTAACTCTTGAAAATTTTTATATAAATCAAATCAGTTTAAATATAAAAGGAAGCCCAGCGTGATGGCACATGCCTGTAGTCTCAGCACTCAGGAGACTGAAGCAGGAGGACTGCCTTGAGTTCAAGACCAGCCTGGGCTACACAGTGAGTTCAAGGCCAGCCTGAACTACATAGCAAGACCCTGTCTCAAAAAAAAAAAAAATAAGTAAAAAGGGAAGACTAGATATTTAAAAAAACACCCCCTATAGCAAATTTTCATAGTCTTTTTATTTTTGTTAATCTAGACATTAATATATTAACAGATCAGGCTTACACAGAGCCAGGTACATTCATATACTAAAACAATTCAAACACTCGTCTTTGAAGCGAGGTTGATCTACACTAAAGAAAAAGATTAGTTAACTAATGATTAAATTAATGAAAAGTCTGAATTATAAAGTTCCTTTAAATTTGTATTGTTTAAGCTTTTAAGTACTTACATCACTTGCCCCTCCAGACAGAGAGGACAAATATTTCCTGCCTGGCCTATTTTGATTCATGGTAAAGTCTCATCTCAGGCTTGCATATTCCAAAAGAAAAGTTTGAATCAGTGAAATTTCAACTACCATTCAAATGCTCTGATAACAAGGTTCATTCAGTTTGTGAAGCTGTAACTTGGGCACTGCTCAACCTCACTTACAAAGTGCAACAAGATACTTTTATCCACTAGTGGAATCCAAAGCCCTGTGCTGACCTTGAACTAACCTTGCCCTCTTTTCATCCTCCAAAGATGCCACTGATGCTGACCTGGAGTTGCTGAAGATATGGAAGTTCTTACTTTGGGGGCAGATCTTAACATAAGCACAGATCACCCTGTAATTAACAGTTCCATTTTGATCCATGCTCTTGATGTAAGTCAACACTCTGAGGAGATTCTCTGAGATCCTGTCAGTCTCTGGTGGAAGGAAGTTTCTAGTATCCCTTTCCTGTTGACACATCTGTCCAATCATTTCTCAAAACCTTTCTCAGAGACAGTTTCACCATGAAGTTAATAGAGCTTACTCAGAGCCTTTCATTCCGTCCTCACAAGACCCTTCTAACTCAAAGTCACTTTGTCTTTTTCATAAAAAGCATTTCAGGACCACCAGGAAGGGCACCTGGCTCTCCCAGTCACTTCCTCTCTTATCTGTCTGTGCTTGACTCCTCTCACGGCTGAGGACACAGCCTTTTACCCCATAATGAAGCTGAAAGAGCAAAGACCCCTGGAAGCGAGAACAGTGACCTACATTCATATTCAAGAGTCAGTGACAGCTGACAGAATGTTTTTCCCCTCACACTATTTTTTATATACTGAAAGGCTCAGAATAGCTGAAATGGTAAAGAGGACAGGACAGCAGGCCCTGAGGAGAAGGTGAAGAAACAGGCATTAGGACATATTGAAAAGAGGGTCACCTACACTCAGATTCTTTCTGTAAAAGCCAACAAGGAGGGACAGATGCAGAGAGGAAAAGAAGTCACATACTGGGCTGTGAATTGAAGTCAAGTTCAGCTCAGGTGAAAACACTCCAGGAATTCTTAAAAGGTGGTAAGGAAGCAGGGCTACCCTGGCTGCTGAAAGAGGAATCAAGGGTCCTCACTCACTGCTAGGGGACCTCAAACTATGCTGGCGATGCCCTCAGCAGCCACCTAGCCCGTCCTTGAAACACAGTAAACCGCTCTGGCAGGCTTCTTTGCTGAGTACATGGAAACTGTTTCAGGTAAAGATCTATCAGATTCTAAAGGTTGTAAAGATGATTGGTTTTCCTTGACACCTGTGCTAAAGCCATCTTCCTCAGTTTGGGATGGAAGTCTTTGTTAGTCTTCTTTGCCAGTGGAATCCTATTTCATCTTGAAAGACCAGTTTATGTTTTCTCTGTAAACTCCTAGTGTTGTTCTCCTTTGGTTTTTCTCCCCTTCTCTCACTAGTAAATACATGATCTCAAGTATGTATATGAATGCTCATATATGCTACATGAATGTAGCATTTACCATAATTTCTAGATATCTTTCATAATGGGCCTATTTCTAGAAAAGACATGGGGGGAGGCTTTCAAACAAAAATAATATAATATAGTTTTAAAAGAATTTTAAAAGGAAATCACAAGAAATTTAGGAAGAAAAAGTTCACTGTACTAAGAAGCTAGGATAAAGTTCTTACCAGAGATTGCCACAGGCCAAAGTAAGAAGATAAACATACAAGGCATAGAGAGCATCCTCAATGTCTGATAAAACAAAAGCAACAATTCTGTGAAGTCAGAAGTTTTTTCTGATGTTAAATTCCAGGAGGAATTTGCTCCTGGGTTTTCATAAATGCTGCCCAACCTGTCATTTTATGAGGTTATCTCAAGAACTCTGTTAGATCTTTTAGGACAAATACTACAGCTTATACTAGTATTTCCCTCATAATGCCCTATATTAACATTGTAAGTGTTCAAATATTTGCCAATAGATTGAGGATCCAGTTTTCTTACCAGTCTTATTATTCTGTCTTGAGATCCCAGGACAATCAGAATAATGGATTCATTACATCTCTTAGCAGAGGGACTCTCAGACCATTTGATACGGCCCTAACTCCCTCGCCACATGCAATCATGGGATTTTAAAGACATTCTCACCCCCAACCACTGGTGCCAGTATGGAGCTAGGAGCTGAAGGTCCATCTGGCCTCATTTTCAGGCTTCCCTCTCCCATTCCCTTATGGTTCACTGTCTTTCTGTCCTCACCACACATTCCCCATCCCTTGAGCACTAGCAATTTGGCTCATTAACCTTTGTTCATTCCCTCTGATAACTACCACAGTGCTTTGTAAAAAGGAACTTCTTTTATGCAATTATTATTATTATTATTATTATTATTATTATTACTACTACTACTTAAGGAAAGTGATTTGGAAAGAGGTTCCAGAGCAAGATTTTTCATTACTTTGCTCTGCTGGAGTCTAACAGACCCTCAGGCATAGAAATTAGCCTAAAATGCAGAAGACCAGCTAAGCCACAACATAAGCAGCCCAGGAGGTTAAAATGCAGTTTACTCAAGAAGTTGAAGACTTAAAGGTCAGAAGACATTATTCTCTCCCTCTTGGTCATCATATGCCCCCCAAAGTACACTGGGCAAGCCCTCAGCAAAAAAAGACAAAGAAGATGAAGAAGATGAAGAAGAGGAAGACGAGGAGGAGAAGGAGGAGGAGGAGAAGCCTCCTTTGCACTTAGTAGCTGTTCAATAAATAATTACAGTAAGGTCACAGCACAGCTACCTTGAACATAATAGGCCCTCAATAAGCACTAATTTGAGAACATCATGGCACATCAGGTCACACATGGTAGGTAGTAAATCTTTTAAACTGATCTTAGGACAGCTGCCTTGCACATAGTAGGTCCACAGTAAAAGGCTATGAAATCGAAAAGTAGCAGACACTCTCTGTTGAGAACCCTGGCAGAGGTAACATTAATCAAATCCCAGGCACAGATCCATGAATGGAAATGCGCATCTCAAAGAAAGCGCCTGGGAGAGTGCCGGCGAGGCGCGTGACAGTGCGTGGCGGCGGCGGCGGCGGCACCGCTCTCCTTCGGGACGCGGCCGACCCGTAGCACTCTCCTGGGTATTGATTAGCGATCGGAATCCATCCCAAACCTAGGGCCAGGAAGGCACCACTTCCAATAGTCATTTTGGGGCCGCACGTGGAACTCCCACCACTGTGCCTCCCGGGCATCTGCCCACCGGGCTTCTCAGATTCCAGAGAGTAGCGGACAGAACAAAAGCAGAAGCCAACCGGGCTCCCGATTGCTTTTCTGATGGAGAACACTCGGGAAGAGGCAGGAGGAGCCGACCCGGACCGAGCTCTGATGCCAGCCCCCGCCCGCAGTCCGCACCGCCCGCCCTCCCCTGCAATTTCTGGCTCGGGATCGCAGAGCAGGGGACAACGGTGGAGACCCCTCTGGCCCGGGGCCGGGGCCCCGAGGCGGACGCTGTCGGGTGTAGCAGGGAGAGGGCGCTATATTAACCCCTGAACGGGGTGGAAGGAGGCTGGAGAGGAGGATAATAGGGGACTGAGGCAGACCCCACAACCGAGACTGAAATTTGAATTCTCAGAGCGAACTGCCCCTGGGCGACCCGGACGCGTGCGACCGTGCCCAGGGCTGGGGTCTCGTGGCACCAGAGCCCTGCGTCCCCCTCCCCTGCACACACCCCAAGGGGAAGCCCAGAGGCAACCCTCCCGGCCAGGCTGGCGACCCAGGGGCAGCCCAGGGGCGAGGAGCTCACCGAGGGCGGCCGGGCGGGTCTCGCGGAGACGGCCCACAGATCGGAAACTCGCTAGTTTGGTGTTTCTGCGAAGGCGAGGCGAGGTGCAGGGAGAGCGGGGAAGTCTCATCTCTTCCTTCTCCCCATCTTCTCCGGAGCCCGCGGAACTCCGAGAGGCGCAGGCGGCGGGAGGGGAAAGCCAGCGAAGAGGGAGCCACTTACCGAGGCAGAGCGCTGAGCGCGGCGCCCGGGCGCGAGCGGCGCCTTTGTCTGCCGCCGCGGCGCCGGCGCGCTCTGCCAGGCCGGTCCCAGCCCCAGCGCGCGGCGAGCTCCCGCCGGCGCCCCGACAGCCCAGCTCGCTGCACGCTCCGCTCGGGCTCGGGATCGGCCGGTCCCCCGCCAGGGAGGCCGCCGCCGCGGCTCCGCCCCAAGCTGGGCCCCACCCCCGGCCAGCCAGGCCCCCACCTGCTGCGGTGACGGCTCGGGGGAGCCAGGCCCCCGGGTCCCCAGGGCAGCCGGGTCCCCAGGGCAGCCGCGTCCCCAGGGCAGCCGCGTCCAGCGCGCGCCCCGCTTCTCCCTCCGCAGCCTCCGCGCGGTTCGGGGCAGAGCGCGCACCGCGGACACCGGCCTGGAGCGATCCTGCCTCTCCGAGGCTGCCTCACCTGCGTCGAGCCCCGTCCCGGGACAGCCTGGCCTTTCCCCCTGGGCACTCGCGCTGCAGGGTGGCCAGTCACCTTAGAAGCCCGTCCTCACTCTGCCCGCGATGGGGTTTCCCTCAAGCTCCACCTAGGGAGCGGAGGAAAGGAGGAGGGAAGCGGGGTCAGCGGGCGCTGCCGTAGCGGCCCAGGAGAGGGCGGGGAGAAGGAGCTGGCGGGAACCGGACTACTCCAGGCCGGGGGAGACTGTCGTGGACTCGAGGTGGCATTGGGCCGAGGGTCCAGGGGGCGCCGAGCACAGGTGCGCGGAGCTAGAGCTGGCCTTGGATTCACAGCGGGGTGCCTGGGTTGGGAATTCTTGCTCGTATTGAACCGCCAAATAAAATTAACAGAAGGGAGCCAACACTTGGGGAGCCAGACAAAAGGAATTAGAGAAGCCACCAGACCCGTAACTTCGTAACTGGTGTTTATGTGCCGCTCTCTAGCAAGCCCAAAGAGGTCCACACCAAATAGACGCTTGCATCCTATTAGAATGGTCAGGGAACTGCTTTTCTAGGCAGAGAAAAATATTATAACTTAAATGTTGTACAATGGGGTCACTAGTGGCTTTCACTGACCGTAAACGACCCCTTATCCCAGCCAAAGAGAACCACACGTGGCCACTTCATGGGATCTGCTATAAACTGTAGTTATTTCTGCTTCCTCCTCCACAAGAGCTTCATCCTCCACAATTTCAGGTGCTTACCGGATGCACAATAATTGTTGAAAGAATTAATCTGTGGGTCATATAACTGTGCTAATTGACACATGGACAAAACCATAAAAATTAAAAATTGTAGAATCATATTGGAAAGTACATTAGTGGTTAGCCCAGTAATGGTCATACAAGGTGTTATTAGCAGTGAGCTGTAATTATCATGCAGACACAATTGCCATTAATCATATGTATACAGGTACGTAAGAGATTTAGGATTATATGCATGGAGATAGCAGCTCTCTGGACCTTTATTACCCCTAAAAGAATAGGTAAGGATAAGGACAGAGTGTGTAACAAGCGAATGAGTGTACATCATTGGTAAGACATTTCAATATGCCTTTTCCAAGGAGAACACTTTAACATTTTGCTTGCTTAATTTTGATTACAAATAAGTATTATCAATTCAGCAAGACTACATAAATATGAAATGTTCTGTGTAGGTTTATTCAATTTTATAACACTTCTTCTGGGAAGGAAGAATAAAAGTTCCTAAGATGTTCCTTTTATCCAAAAAGCACAGGCAGGCAAGTGTCCCAACGTAGTCAGCCTACTAGCGTCAGATGAGGGTCTGGGGCATCAGAATGAAGAGTCAGACCTGGGCCAAGACCAGGAAAGCTCAGTCTCCCTTCTGGGGTGTTTTAGCTCAATGTTTGGGGTCTGGAAACTTACCCACGTGAGATAATCTCTCTCTTCCTGTTGCAAAGAGGAAAATGTAATTTTCTCCATGCGATGATTCTGAGTGAATGGCTCATGCATAGTGAATGGTGTGCCTCCAAATTATGGGATGAGACAATGAAATATGCATTTTAATATTGGGAGTCCATTATCACACAATGCCAGGGGAATGAATAGGAACAGGGGTATTTATCTAGGCATTCTCCATCACCCTCTGTCACCTGGGCTCCTTCTGCAGTGGGTGCTGTTCTCAGAAAACAAGCTAATCCTTATTTTTACTCCAAGAGACTCCTAAAGAAGCTGGCTGAGGTAGGTGTCAGTAGGTAGAAAATAACTGCACAGAACTCAGGAGGTGAGAAGTTCACACAGTCATTTTCTTTCTCTCTCTTTCTTTTTTTCTTTTCTTTCCCTTCCTTCCTTCCTTCCTTCCTTCCTTCCTTCCTTCCTTCCTTCCTTCCTTTCTTTCTTCCTCTCTCATTGCTCACAACTCGACCCCACAAGCAGTACTTCAGTGGGCTAGGCCAGGGGTGACAACATCTGTGGTGGCCCTGGAGAATGTGGGGGTGGCCATAAAGGAGATAGTGAGTGAAGCAGGAAAGTGCCATGCCTGCCAATTCATCTCTCAGGACTCCTAGTTTTGACTCAGGTCATGGAGGTAGAGGGAAAGCAACCTAGATTATTTACCACTGTTCCCCTACTCCACTTGTTCTACTCCAAGGAAGAGTTGGCATCGCCGAGGGCATGTCACCCTTCTCCAGGGCTGAGGACTGGTTGTGTTTGAGGAACCAACTGACCTTGACTTCTAGATGATGGGGCCAGCAGAGCCACAGAAACACAATGAGCCTGTGTGCTCTTCCTTTTGACAGCAGTCCGACTCTCATTTATATTCATTGCCATTCATTCCCCGCCCCCAGCTCCTTCCCTGCTGTCTCTCTGTCTCACTCTCTTCCTCCTTTCCTCTCTCCTTTCCTCCCCTCTTTTTCTTGCCTGTCCAACTAGGAAGATGAGACAGGCCTAGGGTATTCTCACAGTCTGGGAGCTAAAGTCTAGAAGGCAGTCACTCTCTTCTTCACTGTTACTTCAAGCAGCTCTCAACTGCCTTTCCTCCACAGCAAGGAGATGAGATCCGCCATGCATTCAGACTTGGAAGGAGGAAGCAACACGCTCTTTGGGTTGCATAGTTCTAGCTATAGGCTGGTGATTCTAAACCTGTACCTTCAGTAGAATCTCCTAGGAAATCTTCAAGTACATTGAGAAAAAGGAGCAATAAGTGACCGTAGTGGCCCACTTAGCATTATCTGTCCCTATTTGTCACATTCTGACTTCCCTCCTCCTACCATAAACAAGCTGTCCCTGCTGGGCGCTAGGAGTGTAGCTCAGTGGTAGAGCAAGAATATGTAGTATGTGCAAGGCCCTGGGTTAGCAGCAGCTTTCAGAACTGGTTTAATGTTTCCCACCTTCACAGAAAATAAATCTAAAACATACTCTGACCCCTCTCTTCTCCAGTTAACAAAACCTGGCAGAATAAAACTTGCCTCCTCTCCCTGTCTCCACTTCCTCTCCTCCCATTCTCTAACCCATTCCAACCTCGACTGCCCTACTCAAGGTGACCATTCCACCTCGTTTTTAAATCTAATGATCTATTCTCAGGCTTTCTCTTAATTGACTCATTCAACATTTTACATATATGATCACTCCTTCATGAAATTCTTTTTTTCCACTTGGCTCCCAGGACACTTCTCTTTAGTATCCAACTTGTTAGGGTTTGGATCTGAAATGTCCCCCAAAGGCCATGTGGTAAAGGCTTGGTCACCAGCCTGAGGCACCATTGGAGGTGGTGGGGACTTTAGGAAACGTAGTTTTTTCCTTTTAAATTGTTTTGCTCACGTTCTTTGTCAAAGCATCAGAAAGCTAATACACAAACTTACTGGCTCTTTCAGGAGCAACAGTATATGCCAGCTACTCAAAACAACACAGAAGAGAGTATGCAAAATGGAAAAGTACTAAATCCATTTCCACCAAACTCAGGAACCAGACAGAGAGGCTTGTCAGCACTATTATTAACATTTTTCGAGGCTAAAATAAAGCAAGAAGGCATGGAAATGAAATAGTAGATACAAACACTGAAAAGGAAGAGACAAAAGGTCTTTATAGATAATTGTACAACTAAAACCTTAAGGCTCTAGTTTTTTTTTTTTTAAAAAATACTTTTAGAGTTTATAAGAGGATGTGGCAAAGTGGCTAGAAATAGCAGGAATAACTAAAATCAAAAGCTAGTTCTTTGAAAGAAAAAAATGAAATACATAAACTCATCAGAGCCTTGATTAAGGAAAAGAGAGAAAGCAATTATAGCAATATTATCTATGAAAAAAGTGATATGAGAATAGGTTTAAGAAATACTGTAAAAATTATCAAAGAAAATTGAGTGTAAATCCCTGGTAAAACTGTAGAGCTGATTGATTGTTTGACTGATTGACTGATTGATTGACTGATTAATTGATTTAGAGACAGGGGTTCCTTATGTTGCTGAGGCTGGCCTCTAATTTCTGGACAGAAGTGATCTTGTCTCAGCCTCTTAAGTAGCTTAGACTACTGGTACACAGCACCACGCCAGGCTATTCTTTTATCAGACATGGTCCCTGCTTTTGTAGAACTCAAATCTAGTGTATGTGTGGGGGTGTCTGCTAAACATATGCTTGCACAAATAATTGGTTTGCTTTGCATGAAGGGCCTAACTGGGAGGGCTAGTTTCATCTGGAGGTCAGGAAGGGCTTGTGAGGAAGTAAATATTAAGTTGGATGTGGAAGAAGGAAAAGTTTGAGAGATCCCTGAGAAAAGGTTAGCAATGGTGGCAAACTTATAACACTGATAACAATTGTTTTTTCTAAACTAAAACCTCAGTATTTAGGTTTCATTGCAGTGTTGACACTTTGCGGTAAATAAGGGGGTTTGAGGTTGCAGTTTGGGCACTTGATCTCTAAAAGGTTCGCCATCACTGGATTAGTGTGTTAGTGTCCCACAGGCCAGAGGGCGGGGCACATGGCAGGAGAAGAGCCAGGGAACACACTAGGCAAGAGCTCCTGGACCACAGCAAGGATTTTGGCCTTCATCCTCAGCGTCACAGGAAGCCCTTTTAGCATTTTCAGCAAGGAAGAGCTAAGTTCCTACCTTAGAAAATGCTTCCTCTGCAAGGCATGCAAA